GGAGGGAAAGAAGAAGGAAGGAAGGAAGGGAGGGAGGGAGGGAGGGAGGGAGGGAGGGAGGAAGGGAGGAAGGGAAAGAGAGAAAGAAAGAAAAGAACAATATACGTTTTCAATTATGTTTGCAGAATAATTAACAAATCTTTAAATTCTGGTCTCCTAATCAGAAGGAGAGGGGACAGGAAAGTTGGAATATATCAATGATGCTTAGATTCCGCTTCAGTCAGTCCCATTGCCTTTTATTCTGGTTAGTTTCTGAGATGATTGTGGCTCTCTTCATTCCAGTGTTTCATGATAGAAAATTATTATATAAAATTATCAGCTATCATACCATACTGACCAAAGTGGAAAAAAAATGAGAAGGAATGTAAACAGCTTAACAATTGGAGCAAAGTTGAATCATGACTCACTTGGAGCACTATATATCCACTAAAATCCCATTTTTTTCCAGAATATGTAAAAGATGGATGATGTTCTTGCTAAAATGTAAAGGGGGAAAAAAGTCTTTTCATCCTTGACTTTTAACTACGTGTCATTCTTCTCTTTAATGGATCTTTGACTAGTCATTTAAAACTCTAATGTGTTTGCATTTGTATTTGCAGCAACCTGCTTTCAGAAATGTAAAAATGGAGGTGACTGCATTGCTCCTGGGGTGTGCCACTGTCCTTCGGCATGGGAAGGGGAGCAGTGTCAAATACGTAAGTGGCCCGCAGGGTTGTTTTCTACTATATTCTGAAGCTGAACCTGTTGTAATTATTATGGTTTAAGGAGATAGTGGAAAAAGTTCAGGCATGCTAACCTTGTCAGAAAATATTGTCAGAAATAAAATTAAATCTTAGCCACTTTTGTATTTATTTAACATGAGAAACTGAGGAGTTAATTTGTGACTAGCTCTTACATTTTTCTTGGCTAAGAATAGAAGTCTCCTTCAGTGTGCCAAATAAATAAAACAATAAAATGCAAACATATTTTATAATGTATTAAAGTTTTTTATAGATTCAAATAATGATAACTGGATTCCCAGTAACATTTCCTTAAAGGGAGCAAAGTATTTCAATATGCAGAAGTTTAAGTAGTTCATGTTACAATATACATATTTATCATTGGATAGCTTAGAAAATAACGAAAAAATTACTCCAAATACCACCAACCAAAGTTAATTTCTATTACTTTTCTTTTGTGTTTTATATATTTTCATTTAGACTTAGATGTAAGTTTTTTATACAGATAAAGCTCAATGTATAGAGAAAAAAACAACATGGAATATTGAAATATAAAAAAACTTGAAATAATATGTTGAAAAGTTAAGAAAGAGAAACCTGGTGGGGAATATTCTAAATCTTCAAAATTACCACTGAATAATAACTCATTACATAATTTCACACTGGTGGTAAGTGAACAATAAATTGAAATCAACAGCTGCAACATGATTGTGTCTTTGTACCAGAAGTATTTTTCAATCTCTTTTGAAACATGTCAAAAATGTGCATAAAATTTTCATGACACTTGATACTATTGTTAGAATTGCTATTACAATTTGTATATTTCTTATCTTTGAAAATATAAAAGTAACTGTCAGCTTTTACATAAAAATGTGTACTCAAAAATGGATGATTCTGATTGCAAGTTAAAAGTTATAAAATACTAGAATTCAAGTACTATTGGCCTCAACTTGGACTACTCATTCTAGACAGAGAGAGAGCTATGTGGGTCATAAAAATTCGAAGATGCTAAAAGAAGCTGGGCCAGGTAATATACACATGTAATCTCAGCCTTTGGGAGTCTGAGGTATGATGATCTCGAGTTTGAGGCCAGCATGAGCCACTTACTGAGAACTATACAATGATCTCTGAGCACAGCCTAAAGAATGACACTGTACTTCAGTGCTCTGTAGCACCTTTATACAAGTAAAGAAAAAAATCTCTCCATGAAAAGCCAGGTGCCAATGGCTCACATCTGTAGTCCTAACATCTTAGAAGGCTGAGATCTGAGTACTATGGTTCAAAGCCAACCTGGGCTGGAAAGTCCATGAGACTCTTGTCTCCAATTAAACATTGAAAAGCTGGAACTGGAATTGTGGCTTAAGTTGTGGAATGAAAACCCTGAGCAAAGAAAACCTCAGGGACAGTGCTTTGGTTGAGGTCAAGCCCCAGGAAGAGAGAGAGAGAGAGAGAGAGACAGACAGACAGACAGACAGACACAGACAGACAGACACGTAGATCGATAGATGTAAAGAGACAGACAGAGATAGGGGGAAAGGGAGAGAGAAAGGCTCCCTTCCTCAGAATGCTTACTGCGTTCTGCTAAACCATCTGAATATAATTGATATTATCTAAATAGATGTGTTACTGCCATCTGCTGGAATCTTGTTATAATATTATTCAAATTATGATGTCTGTGATATGGATGAAGCTACCCTAGCTATTGCAGTACTGCCCATCTATGTAGCAGCCTTGCTGAAAATATAACCCTTTGGGGTTGCACCTTATATAGAAGTGTGCCGCCTTTAAACAGAAGACATTGACTTTGTATCATTTGGATGAAAAAACCTCAATGTTACCTAAAAATGTTTACCATCATCCTAAAAGGTCAATTTAAACCACTCAGAACTGGAGATTCTCTTGCCTCAGTCTCCTAAGTGATAGCATTGTAGGTAGGCATTACAAGACTTGCCTGACATCTCTAAAAGTTTTGCTAAGTGGTTGAAAGAAAAGTTATGAACACTCTCTTCTGTTATGGACTTAAATTCTTCTCAAAGAATGATATATTTCAAATACTTTAAAGTACCACCAAAGAAATTTTGGTTACCTTTAATCACGTTTATGTAACTGTAAAATTGTTGTTTGAGTTTTAGGTGTTTTGTTTTATGTGATAGGTGTGCAGGTGTGTGTGTTTGTCTGTGTGTGTTTGTGTGTGTGTGTGTGTGTGTGTTCTGAACAATGGGAATGCATAGATTGGATCCACTAATATGTGGTTATTTATAAATTATTCCCACTTGCTTCTTCTCAACTGTGTTGCAACTGCTAGAAAATTTAATGTCGTTCACAATAACTTTTTTCTCTTTTGGTCACTGATCATTTATTTTTAAATTCAAATATTTTTAAGATAAAAATTGTACCTATTCACAGAATACTATGTGATGTTTTGATACATCTATAATTGAGTAATACAAAAGCTAGTTACAAACTATCTTTAGGCCATTGGAATAAGTCCTATGTATTCAGTTTTTTAAAAATGATCATCATTAAACTTTCACATTACAGCAATTTGTAATCTAAAGTGTCTTTATGGAGGCCGATGTGCATTTCCCAATGTGTGCTCTTGCCGCTCTGGATATTCTGGGGTCAAATGTGAAAAGAAAATACAGGTACTTTAAATCTTAAGTAGAAAATAAATAATAGGCCCTGATATCTGCATATATCTTCTAATCAGTTACTAACTGCTGTTAATGTTTTAATTCCAAAATAGAAAATACACAATGATTCAAAATGTGCCTAATCGTTAACAATAATACCTTTCTGATGTTTTCTTAGATTTATCTTTTTTATTTTCCTTGCTGGGGACTAAAGGCAGGTCCTCACATATGTGAGACAAATGTTGACACCCAACCCCAAAGTTATTACACAAAAATTTAATGTGCACTTAAGCAATTTCAATATGTAAATGCAACTACCAAGTATAATACAGAGCTAAAGTAGCAAATAATATATGGTGTGCGCATGAAAAACCACTACTTCATGCTTCTGCCAAATGCTAAACAGAGGCTAGGGCTTGGGCTCTTTTGGTAGAATGGCTATTTGATCCCTAGAACTATAACTAACTAAAAGTATTCTCATTAGTCATTACTTAATTGATTTGGGGGGAGGCCATACTTTACCAGTGTGTCATATTCCACTACAGTTTGATTTGTTTATTCTCATTATTTTCTCTGGCAGTCTAAATAAATTTCACTTAATTTTCTTTGAGCTTTCTGTGACATCTGAAGCCCCATTGCCCTTAAAAGATTTTTTTATTTTTATTTTTGTTGGTCATGGGCCTGAACTCTGGGCCTGGGCACTGTCCCTCAGCTCTATGATAGCACTCTACCACTTGAGCCACAGCGCCACTTCTGGCTTTTTCTGCTTATGTGTTGTTGAGGAATCGAACCCAGTGCCTCATGCATGCAAGACAAACACTATACCAGTGAGCCACCTTCCCAGCCTCCTTAAAAGCTTTTTAACAACACTTTGACAGTACAAAACTATATTCTATTTTTGTCTTTGGTGTTCTTTGTTTTATGTCATTACTAGGGCTTTAACTCAGTGCCTCACACTCTTATACTTTCTTGCTCGGATCTGGTGCTCTGCCACTTAAGCCATGCCTCTATTCCGGCATTTTTGCTTGTTAATTGGAGATGAAGTCTTATAGACTTTTTTTTGTTGTTGTTGTTGATGGTGGTGGTGGTGGTGTTGGTCATGGGGGTTTAACTCAAGGCTTGGGAGCTGTCCTTGAGTTTTTTCTGCTCAAGGTTAGCTAGCACTCTACCACTTTGAGTCACGGTGCCATTTCTGGTTTTGGAATTCTGGTGGTTTATTGGAGATTAAGTGTCTCATGGACTTTCCTGCCTAGGCTGGCTTCAGACCACGATCTTGAAATCTCAGCCTCCTGAGAAGCTAGGATTACAGAAGTGAGCTACCAATGTCTAGTTAATATTCTTTCTCTTCTATACTTATTTACCAGCTGAATCCTTCCTCTTGTGATCAATAGCAGATCATCTCCATCCACATTAGTCACTTCTGAGGCTGCCCCTGGAACCATACAAGGGAAAGGAGTAGATTATGGGGAAGGAAAAGGGAAAGAAAATCTAGTGAGAGGGAAGCATGGCCTGCTGTACTATAACCCGCCCTCTGAAATTTATACCTTCTATTCTCTATTTGTCATTCTTCTTTCGCTAATTGATATTATTTCTGTTTGCTCTTAATATTTTTGGCCTTAAATGCAGTGTTCTTCTTAGCAGGAAAAAAATAAAATAAAAACAAAACGTACTTCATGAGTATTCATAACACCTTTCCTGCATGCTCCCTTGTCTCCTTTAGCTTTCCAAAAGAGAATTCAGTCTGACTAATCAGCCTATGGCTTTTCTTCCAGCACCTGGAGCTAGTAGATAAACAATAACAAAAAAAGAAACAGGATACTAATTAGCTGGCTAGAATTGCAATTACACAGAGAATTAACTGGCCAGTATCAAAAGACACAAAGCAAAAGGAAACTGATCAAGAGGGTAGGTGATAAAAAGCATTGAGAAGCATTACAGCCTGAAGCTAGCTGCAAGGTGCCCATACCATTAACCTTGCTACTTGTTGTTGAGCCTTAGTTTCCCTATCTGCAGAATGAGGCACCACTGAATAAAGAGTATTTAGAACAATGCCTGGTTCATAGGAAATACTAGATGAGCGTTTGTTACTATTTATTGCATTAAATAGACGAGTAGAGAGAGGTAGAGAAGGGAAGGTTTAGGGAATGAGACTAGAAAATGGTACGGTGGGATTGTCTAGACTCTTTGTAAAAAGGGTTTGAAAACAACTGGTGTTATTGGGCAGGAATGTTTCTTGAACTAATGCTTTGCAATGTGGTATTACATTGCATGCAAGCTCCATGTGGTCCTGGTTTCTTTGACCTTTAAATATGATCCTAATAGATCCGTATTATATGAAAGCAATCCTGAACATAGTGGCTGAAAGAAGCAAAAAAGCTTTATGTGTATGGTCAGAAAGAGGGAGGGAGAAAATGAGTTTCTTGTTCTTTATTGATACTTGATTTCCCTTATCTTATTACAGATAAAACATCATTGAGTGAGCATCAAGTGTTATGAATTACAAACCTGTATCATAAGAACTCAAATTTTGTTCAAGCAAAAATGAAAGATAACTCCTGATGTTTATTTAAGGATCATTTTACAGATCTTGTAAAGAACAAAGAAACTAAAAAATGTATGGATCTATATTGTCCTTGTTGGAGGAAACCAAAAAAAAAGAAAAAGAAAAAGAAAAACATCCAGGTATCCTAGTTTGAAGTGTGTTCGGCTGTTTACATATTGAGATATGTATCTTATACTCCAGCCATGTGTAATATTTAATAAATGGAATATTTTCTCAGTCCTGAGACTGCATCACCAGGGTTCAGTCAACATAATATAAGCCACTAGTTGTCTCCATGATATGCAGTGTTCAATGCAGAATGAGAATGTAGAATTAGAGGCTCGTGGAGCTGTTGGAAGGCATGAGTTGAGAATGGAGATAGAGAGGTTGGGAAAGTAGCTGCTGAAGGTTGAAGAGGTGATACTGAGATGTCCAGCCTAAATCACCAAAAACACACAACAAAGCAAAAAACTAACACTTTACCTGGCCCTGAATGTGATCACTAGCATTTTGAAGGTAGTAGCAGGGGTCGGGGTGGGGGACACAGTGTGAGAATAAAAAGTAATAACTCCTTCATTGCAAGTAGGTCAGTTATGCAATGGTTAATTAGAAGGAAGAAATTAAATTAGGCTAATTAATGGAAAGTGAACTAAATATACTGATTATGACATGAGTCAAATGGACATCACAGAACTTTTGATAGAAGATATTTATCCCCAGTAAGAAATTTCACTATCATCCTACCATATTGCAGTGACTATATTTGAAAGCATGTCTGACTGAACACAAGGATTTCTACTTTTTTCCAACAGCTATTAAAAAAGTAAAATTTACAGATTTTTAATGGCTCAAGACCACCCGATATTTTGTCAAAGCCTCTCCTTTAAGTATCTCTTTCCATATATCTTTTTACTCTACAGTTTTGATAGAAAATAAGAGGTTTCCATCGATTAATTTATTGGAAGAATTATTTTTAAAGGAACGTATTTCAGCAAGTGTTCCTGAATGAGTATCCTGGGTTTGTTATTAATTTTTTTAGCTATGAAATATGCCTGTGTACTTGGAAGTGTCAGTAAGAGCACAGAGCAGAAATAGCAGAGAGGCGAGCACTAGGGCACACACCCCAAGGGATGCTCAACTCAGGAACACCTGGGTTTTAACCCAGCCCCATCTCATGTATGTGACTTGTCCACTGAGCTTCACTTACCTGTATGCTTGAATGCATTCATTTGTAACATCAAAATGAATAGCTCTGTGGCTCTGAATCACGGTGGTAAATCCTAGATATTCAGGAGGCTGACACCTGGTGGATTGAGGTTTGAAGCTAGCCCGTAAGGAAGTCCAGAAGATTCCATTTGTCATTAACATAACAATGGTGATCTGGAAGTGTGGCTACAGTGGTAAAATAGCCAGTTGTGAAAAAAAACAAAAAAACCTAAGAGCATGAGGCCCTGAGTTTAGCACCTTGCAGACACACACACACACACACACACACACACACACACACACTGGATACATAATATTTATTTCATAGGATTTCTGTGTAATTTTAAATTTAAAATGAGATTATTATAATCAGTTTCCACAAATGAGTATCACCTAACACTTGCCAACATATGGATCTTATCATTAGTAATAATCATTATAATTATTAATGCTTAAATGAGTAGACCACCTTATGAAATGCTGACAGGTACACATATATCTATTTTTCAGATTTTACCATTACTATAATTTATTGGCATGTTTTGTGATAAAATTAAAGAATTTACTTTTAACAAGCACTAAGCAGTGTGTAAAGTGAAACAACTTAAAATAAGTGAACAGAAAAAAAATTTTTTGGGGGGGGGTCCGGTCGTGGAGCCTGAACTCTGGGCCTGGGCGCTGTCCTTCAGCTCTTCAGCTCAAGGCTAGTGCTCTACCACTTGAGCCACAGTGCCACGTCCGGCTTTTTTCTTTTTGCTTATGTGTTACTGAGGAATCAAACCCAGGGCCTCAGGCATGCAAGGCAAGCGCTCTACACTGAGCCACCTTCCCAGACCCAAGTGAATAGAAATTTTAAGTCAACTCTAATTCACATTTATTAAGAACTAGACTGAAGCTGGACACCAATGGCTCACATATTGTAATCCTAGATACTCAGAAGGCTGAGATCTGAGGACTATGGTACAGTCAGCTTGGGCAGGAAACTCTGTAAGATTATTATCTAAAATTAACCACCAGAAAACTGGAAGTAGCATTGTGGCTCAAAATGGTAGAGAGCTAGTATTGGGGAAAAAGAGCTCAGGGACAGTGCCCAGGCCCTGAGTTCAAGCCACAAAATGGACAGAAAAAAAAAAAAACAAAGAAAAAAGAAAATAAGAAGAAGAACTAGACTGAAGAGAATAAAAGCAGCAGGCATATAAACATTAAAATCTGCTCTAGTTGACCATGGCATGGGGCTACCCATGTGGTTCTCAAACATTTAATGATTGGCCAGTTTGTTAGCATTTTTTATTGTAAAGGTGATGTACACAGGGGTTATAGTTACATATGTAAGGTCATGAGTACATTTCTTGTCTCATATTGTTACCCCCTCTCTCATGTTCTCCAACTTCCCTGCCTGCAACTCCTCCCCCCAGTTGTAAAGTTGATTTCTAACATAGTGTCTTTTGAGTATCACTGTGGCATTGGCCACCCTTTGTCCTTTATCTTACCAGTTTGTTATTCCCCTTCTCTTCCCCAAATCAGATAAATGTATGTACAAGACACAAGGTACCAAAATAAAAACAGTCAGTGACAACAGGGAATAAACCAAAGGGGGAAAATACCAAAGAAAACAGAAATAACAGCACACAGTATATTAAAAAAAAAACAAGAAACAGAAAATAACCCTCTTGTTTCCATATCTTGGAGTTCATTTTGATGAGCATCATTTTAATGGTCATATATACATAGCTATCAAGCTATTGTGATCCTTTGTTAGGACTATCCTAGACATATACTAATTGTTACAAATGAGGGAAACCATGGAGCCTATGTTTCTTAGCGTCTAGCTTTCTTAATATGATTTTTTCCAAGTCTTTCTATTTCCTTATGAATAAGGTGATGTCATTCTTTCAGACAGAAGCATAGAATTCCAGTGTGTAGATATACCACATTTTCTTGATCCATTCATCTACTGAGGGGCATCTGGGTTGGTTCCATATCTTAGCTATGGTAAATAATGCTGCAGTGAACATAGTTGTGCTGATAGCTTTAGTGTGGCCTTGCTTGTGATCATTTGGGTAAATACCCAGGAGTGGAATTGCTAAATCATAGGAGAGCTTTATGGTTAGTCATTTGAGAAACCTCCATACTTCTTTCCAGAGTGATTGAATCAGTTTATATTCCCACAAACAATGTAGTAGCATTCCCATTTGTTGGCCTATAGTTGGACCAGTACAACCTCAGCAGGCCCCAAGCACTTTTGCCTTTCAAATGCTGCCTTTTACTCAATTTAAAAATTTTATATATTCCCTGGGCACTAATAGTTCATGCCTGTAATCCTAGCTTCTTAGGAAGCTGAGATAGGAGAATTGTGAGGAGGAAAGCCCATGAGACTCTTAGCTACCTAAAAAGCTGAAAGTGGAGCTGTGGCTCAAGTGGTAGAGCACTAACCTTGAGCAAATAATCCTCAAGGACAATTCCCAGGTTCTGAATTTAAACTCCAGAAGTAGCACAAAACAAATAAAAATACTATAAATTAAGTCTGCAGATGTATCTTAGTGGGAGAGTGCTAAGAGTGTGCAAGAGACCCTGGGCTCAATTTCTAGTTCCAAAAACAAATAAGTAAAAATCCTATTATATAACTGGGTTAATATAAGGATGACCATATTAATATTACTCTAAAATATTTGATTCTAAGAATTCTTTCTTTCTTTTGTCCGTATTTTGGATTAAGGTTGCTGGGCTTTTCTGGTTGCTCAGAATAGATCCTGCCTGCAAGACTATAGTAGATTTAAGTATATGATATCATAAACTATAATGCTTTTTAGGAACAATGTCTTCTTATGTAGTTCAGAATTACCCTAATGTACTTGTTAAATGACCACTGAAAATGTTTTGGGAGAATATATTTTTTAAAGGAGGGGAAACATATTGCCCTTTGGTGGCTTCCTTCCTTCCTCCTCCTCCCCCTCCTCCTTTTCCTCTTCCTATTATTATTCTTTTCTTTTTTGTGTGGCAACAACAGCCATCTCCTTGAGTCCAGAAATAATTTGCATGCTCTA